ACTGAATAGTAGGCCTTTGTAGCAAATAACAAACCATTACGAAGATACTTGAAACTTGAATAACAAACACTGTAATTTACACATTTTAGAAAAAAATGTCATTGACTATGGGTTGTATGTGTCTTATTTTTAGTTTTTAGACAGATATACTGTTGGTGTACATTTTTGTCACTAAAACCTTGGGGATGTGACGATACCAACATAGATAAGGCCAAAAATCCAGAATTGTCCATTGAAAGCTGTCATTTCTGTGATTTACTAGATGGTATAAATTGGGTGTTTTAGTATCATTTTTGGAACTAATGACACTTTGTAGTTGAAAAAAAAGACCCAATGATAAAAGTTCTTCCCATTAGAAAAGCATGAGGTAAGTTTTCAGTTTGTTTGCTTGATGTCTTGTTTTTAAAGAAATAACAGGATTGAACCTCTAGAACAGTTAAAAGAAATGATTACAAAGCTTTACAGATTTCTGGTATGCTGACGAAAGTCCAGAATCTTCTGAGGGGAGGGTCACCAAGGACAAATCCCCACCCAAAGTCACTGGGAGCCAGACTTCATTCCATGATGGTGCCCTGTTAAAACATGTTTCCATGTGTTTCAGAAAGATAATGAGGGCCCCAAGTGACTAGATGTTGAATCCTTTTCTACCAGGATTGTGCATTGTAACATAAAAAGGTTTAAATCTGTGTTTAACTTAAAGAGCCTTAACAGTAGTATCCACAGTTTCCTTGCCTTGTATCAGCAGGCTTACTGTAAAATATTTGTGTGTCTTGTATAAGACAGACTAAGAGTTTTATTAATTAGTTCAAATTTTACAATTTAGATTAAATTCTTGAGAAGCTATTTTAAAAGTATGCCTCATGAAACTATAAACTGAGATCGAACAGGTAATAAGCTTAAGTAAAGAATCCTTTGAAATGTCTTTGATCCAAGCACTTCTTGTGGTTCTGAAGCAAAAGTGTGTTTCCCTGCCTCGTTTAGTGGTACAGTTTTGTTCATTTCATTCTGAGAAATTGGTACCATGTCTTATTCTTCCTTATGACTCCCTAATGTAGCTGAGTATATCTTCCCTTTGAGATTAGGTGTTCCAGTGAATGACAGGTAAAGATTGAGGAGGGTTCCCACATCACAGTTATTACGAGTCTACCTCACAATTGAATCATTGAAGATAATGAGATTTGGGCAAAAATTTTTAAGCTATTTAATTCAAAGCTCACATAGTTCTAAACTCTTTTGTAACTGGATATTGTAGGTTTAGGAGAAAACCCTATTTGCTCACACACACAAAAAAAAATTAAAAATAGCCTGATAGGGCACCTGGGTGGCTCAGTTGGTTAAGCGTCTGCCTTCAGCACAGGTCATGATCCCAGGGTTCTGAGATCAAATCCCGTGCTGGAATCCCTGTCCTGGATCTCCCTCTACCCCTCACCCCTGCTCATACTCTCTCTCTCTCTCAAGTAAAAATATAAAATCTTTAAAAATAAATAAAAATAGCCTAATAAAATCTAAAGAATGGCAATCCTTATGTAAAATCAGCTTCCTATACCTCGATAAGCACCATTTATGTGGAATCGTTATTGCACTTACATGGTCTGGCACTACTTAAACTGTGCTGGGTGTAATAGTTATAATGGTAACAAGTCATTTTCAAGTACCCTAGCCTTAAATGAAGGGGAACTAGACTTCCAGTACAAGTTTCAAAATAACACAACTAAAATAATTATTATGGCATATCTCAGGGAGGAAAGCCATGCAGCCGTTAAAAATTATGTTGTATTGGGATCCCTGGGTGGCTCACTGGTTGAGTGTCTGCCTTCAGCTCAGGTCGTGATCCTGGGGTCCTGAGATTGAGTCTTGCATCAGGTTCCCCATGGGGAGCCTGCTTCTCCCTCTGCCTGTGTCTCTGCCTCTGTGGGTCTCTCATGAATAAATAAATAAAATCTTAAACACAAATCATGTATTAAGAAAAAGAATCTTGTGGATGTGGCAAAAATATAATGAATTGTTAAATGTTTTTAAAACATTTAACCACATAAACCACAAAATAATGTGTACAGAATAATCATTTTTATTTACAAATATGTATTTATATTAAGTCTTTGTTTATGCTATACATTATATATAATATTTATATATAAATATGTATTTATACCTACAAATATAGCAACATCTGTAATTTTTTGAGACATTTGTAATTTTTGAAAGACCAGAAAGACAAAAAATATTTAATAATAAAGTTTTCTCTATTCTCTGAGCAATAGGATTTTGAGTGATTTCTGTTCTTCCTCTGGATTTTTTTTTTAAGTTTATTTATTTATTTATTTATTTATTTATTTATTTATTTATTTATTTATTTTAGAGAGTGAGCATGCAAGCAGGGGAAGGAGCAGAGGGAGAGGGACAAGCAGACTCTGTACTGAGTGTAGAGCCCCACAGGGGGCTCAATCTCATGACCCTGGGATTATGACCTGAGCCAAAATCAAGAGTTGGACTGTTAACCAACTGAGCTACCCACATATCCCCTTCCTCTGGATACTAAAAACTTTTTTATAAGTTTCTACATAAGCATGTACCATTTTAATAATTAAGAAAGATGGGATCCCTGGGTGGCGCAGCGGTTTGGCGCCTGCCTTTGGCCCAGGGCGCGATCCTGGAGACCCGGGATCGAATCCCATGTCCGGCTCCCTGTGCATGGAGCCTGCTTCTCCCTCTGCCTGTGTCTCTGCCTCTCTCTCTCTCTCTCTCTCTCTCTCTCTGACTATCATAAATAAATAAAAATTTAAAAAAAAGAAAGATGTCATATGCCCTATATAAATAAATACATAGATAAAAGCAATTAACACTTTTTTTTTTTACTCTTGGTTCAGGTTTTTTGTAAACTTTAAATGAGTTTTATTAATTAGTTCAAATTTTAAAATTTTTATTCTGCTAATTGGCTGCTTAGACTATATAAGGAATGATAAATGAACCAAACATATATTCTCAGTAGTTTTAAATGGTTGGTGTTGAAAGTATAAGAATAAAGATGACAGGCCAGCATAGCATTACTTTAGGTTAATCATGCTGTTTAAAATCCAGGGCTTACAAGCCATGAGCATAACGTTTCCAACAATTACCGGTTTGCCCCAGCAGAGTACTCTTGTTAATACATACGCTTCCGTTTCACACTGGAAGGATGTGCATTGTGAGGTGTGTGACCTGCAGTGGTTCCCAGGTCCTAAAGGACTTACCCTCATCAGTGCAGTTTTCTTCAAGAGGTTTGCCTTTGAAAACTTAGAAGGTAAACTTTCCCAGGACAGAATATCCATTGAGGTGCATCTCAAAGGGATTCTAGTACACCTGGGTCATTGCATATCACTGCTCAGTGCTTTGTTTTCAATGCTAAGGAGTCAGCAGGTTCCTGACCTTATGGCACTGGCCACATTTTCTTATGGTTGTTTGTGATTGTCTCCCCTGGGGAAACAGGACACTTGAATGATTGTCATTCATTGAATGCTTACCATTTCCCAAAACTGCACTACCTCCTTTGGTATACATTACTTCATTTAATCTCATAATATTATAAAAAGTAAGCACTATTTTCTCTTCATTTTATGTAAAACTAAGGCTTCGATTTTAAATAAGCCAGCAGAACTCCCAGCTCTAAAGGAAAGACCAGCACTGTAAACCAATAACCAAATATGACTCAGCTGATGAACAAGTGTGTCCTCACAGCCTTTGCCAGCTTTGAAGCCCATGATGCTGCCCTACCATTTTTCTAATCCTTATATGAACAAAATAATCCCATCCTCCCTTGTGCACAGCATTTGCACAGTATTTTGGAGGGTAGGTCAATTTTATTAACCTTAGAATTCAAAGGATCCAGTGGTCAGCATCTTAAATTCCTACTTTCAGACACTGTTTCTGAGTTTTAAATCTTCTCTCTAATTTTACTGGTTCCAAAGTTATAAAAAGATGTGACATTATTTTTTGAATGCCACCCCCCCCCCCGCTCCATGCTGGTTAATAATGATAGCAATGAGCTACCATTTATTGAGGACTCACTACTGTACTAAGTACTTTCTTAACAGTGATGCCATGAAATCGGTTTTGTTGCTTTCCGATTTTACAGACAGGGGAATTGAGGTTTCACAAGGTTAAATGGCTTACCTGGCCTTACATACTCATTCCATCATTGATCTAATAAAGGAGTGCACTGGGCATTTGAACCCACTTTTTCTGTTGAATCAACACTACTTGGCTAGTGATGTTACTTTGGGCTAATTATATATACCGGTGAATCAGTTTCTTGACCTATAAGATGCGATAATGCTATTATTTACCTTAGTGTTGGATTGTGTATTGAGAAAAGTACTTGACACATAGTGACTACTTAGTTGCTGTAAAAGTAATAGGAATTACCATTAATAGCATTATCATATACTAGGTTTTAACTGTTGAAATAACATATTAAACCATATGAAAGTATATAAAGTAAAAAGTGTCTCCCTCTTACCACCTACTTCTTCTCCCCAGCCTTAACTACAGACACCAGTTTGGTATTTACCTCCCAGAATATTTCTTATGCCATCCAAAATTATTTTTTTTAAATATTTTATTTATTTGAGAGAGAGAAAGAGCGAGAGAAAGCATGAGCAGAGAGGAGTGGCAGAGGGAGAGGGAGAAGCAGATTCCCCACTGAGCAGGGAACCCAACACGGGGCTTAATCCCAGGACCCTAGGATCGTGACCCGAGCTGAAGGCGGATGCTTAACTGACAGCCACGCAGGCACCCCAGGCATCTGAAACTATTTTCAAATGTTCCTTTTGTGAATAAGACACAGGTCAATGTGAAATTTTTTGCTTGTGACCTTGCAAATGGAAGACTAGAGAGGTTAAGAAGGAAAACAAATTCATTTATTCAGCAAATACTTGTCAAATGCTTTCCAAGGCTAAGGATTCCTCCACATGTTGAATTTCTGTTTTGACAGTTTATTGATTTTCTTTTTTGGTTTTATTTAGGATATGATGTTTCAGCTTCTCCGAGGCCTGGACTTTCTTCATTCTCACCGAGTAGTGCATCGCGATTTAAAACCACAGAACATTTTAGTGACCAGCAGTGGACAAATAAAACTGGCTGACTTCGGCCTTGCCCGCATCTACAGTTTTCAGATGGCTCTTACTTCAGTGGTGAGTGAGAAAGTGCTATTCTTTCATTAAAGTTATGTTTCCTCTTTTAAATAATGAACTGCCCTTATGCCATGCCCCTGAGATTATTACTGCCTGTGGTCAGTTGGGGGAGAGAATGTCTTTACACTTTTTTTAAAAAAAGGTTTTATTTATTTATTCATGAGAGACACAGAGAGAGAGAGAGAGAGAGAGAGAGAGAGAGAGAGAGAGAAGCAGAGACATAGGCAGAAGGAGAAGCAGGCTCCATGCAGGGAGCCCGACGTGGGATTCGATCCGGTTACTCCAGGATCATGCCCTGGACCAAAGGCTCAACTGCTAAGCCACCCAGGCTTCCTGTCTTTACACTTTTTAAACAGGAGGGCTAGGAAGAAAGGGTTTTGCTTGTAACTATAGATACATACAGACTGGGCTTGTCACAGACAGGACCTATTGCAGAAAATAGTCTGTTACATTGTCACCACTAAAAAAGAATCAGTTACAAGTTTCCAGTTGCTTTTTTGCCATAACCACTATTTTCAGAGCTGCATACACAAAGTCTGGGGAAACATAGCTCAAGGGTTTAGGAAAGAAGAGCGCCAGAGATGTTGTCCTGTCTGTAGCATCCTAGTTTGAGAAATAACGAGGTACCTACACAGGTATGTGAAAGCACTCCTCTGAATCTGTGGTGCTGACTATGAAGAAGAAACTAAGTTTATAGTGAACTAGGATGCCCCATGAACAAGCAGCACCCCACCCTCCTCACCCAAGCCAGAGTATAAGGAGTAAACCCAAGGGTCTGTTTTGGCAAAGAATGAGTTAGTATCCAGGTTTTTTTTTTTTTTTTTTGTCTCCACCAGACACAAAACCATCATGTAGGCACTAATAACTTTTATCTTTTAAAGACCTGTTCTGCATGTAGTGAATTCATGCAGAGATAACAAAAAGCCAAGCAATATTCCTTTACGCTGCTGCTTACTCAGTAGGAGGTTGATGCCAAGAATCCCCTTGGGTCCATGAAGACTATAAAAGTTGTCATCAAAGCATTAGATTAAGCCTTAAGAAAAAGAATGTTCTTGAATCAATATGTCATTTTTCACATCTTTAGCCTTGAAGATTCTCAGTGGAGGGCATTGTTGAGAAATGTATGGCAGCATCTTTGCTCATCCTGATGACTTAAGGGATGGCTGTGGCCACAAAGAGGCTGATAACTGCCCACCAAAGAATTGTTTGCCCAAATTCCAGTAATGCCTCCGCTGCTGAGATATAGACAGAAGGGGAGTTGGAAATTCTCTGAGATAGCTTGTCTTAGGAAAACATTCAGTTTACAAAAGTGTTCCATTTCCCCATCCCCCAAATAGGGATACTAAAACCTGGACACATAAGACCACATACTTTCCCCAACATTGTATGCTTTACCTAGGGCATCAGAATTTTTACAGAGGTTTCTTAGAGTGTGTCACCATTGTTGAAAGATAAATCATACTTTTGAGAAAATGAAGTACAAGATAGTATTTAAAGGATATATTTCCACTTTGGGCTGGGTCGAGTGAGCCCTTGTATTCTTACATATCCACAGCCAAAATGCTGAGTCTATGTATTTCTCCAGCGAGAAGGGTTAGGTGGGCTGCGGGCTTCCCTAGGATATAGTTGTTTAGTGTCCCTGAGGAAAAGCTTCAATAGGCTTTGTGATCCCAGTGGTCACCAGGGGACCAGATGAAAGGAGCTCATCTCTTTGGGTATCTTAATAGTGGGAAGGATGAGCCGTTCATGAGGCAGACTCTTTATTTTGATTTCCCCAAAATGGGCACAAAAAAAACATAAATAAAAACAGGAAACCCAGTTGGTTTTGTTTTGATTTTTTTTTTCTTATTAAATTTAAAGAATGGTAGCCCGGCTTGTGTGTAATATCAGTTAACATTCCATTCTTGCTGAAAGTTGATATCTTCAGACAGGAAAACGTAGACCAATTATTTCATAGAGAAAAAGGGATCAACAGTCATAAATACCTGATTTTTCAGTGTCTCATTTGTCCCACATACTCTGTATTTCTTATGGTGACATAAAGTAAAAAATACTGGCAAAAAATACTAGCAACTGGGAAGGACACTGGAACAAATTTGACATTATTTCCAAGAATGATAGCTGGCATTTAATGTCAGTACTAAAGGTTATGATTCCTAAAGGGTGCTGCGTTTACAAGTTTTCCCATTGTTTTTTGTTTGTTTGTTTTTCTGTTAAAAGAAGAAACCATTTAGTGATGCATTAGTTAACATATCCGTGGTGATATATAAAGACTTAGAATCACAGTTTTTCAGACCGAACTGGTACTTATTTTTAGAATTTCTTGAAGAGAAAAAGACTCCACTCCACTTCCTGGAAATACACATTTTTTAGTGGGTTATGTCATACAGGACCTGGGAATCAACTTAATCTTTGGAATGTTAAAGGAATTACAAGTTAACTGATTCAAAACTGGCATCTTACAGCCATGAGAAATGCTAATATATTAGTTACTTTTCAAAGCCTGACCCAGGTGTCCCCTTCTGTTACTCCCTGTAAGAATCAATCCTCCCTCAGTGTTTCTAGGCTAACATCTTATTAATGTCTATCATAATGCTATTTTCTATCTTGCTTGTAATTATTTTCAGGGTCTTATATATCTGGCTGTAAGGTCCTTGAAGGAATTGGCCAACTGGGAAGAAATTTAGAACAATTTATAAGAGTGGACTATAGTCATAGCTGTAGGTGGTGCATCGCTTAGGGTGTGTGACAAATGGCTTAGCTTGTCTTCATCTGATATGGGAGGGTGAGGTGTCCTTTAAATGCCTGACTTTGCCAGGATGCCTCCAGCATGACACTCAAGATGTCTTTAGAGAGTATTGGGTACTTGCTGCTCAGTACACAATCAGACATGCAGATGTTACACATACAGAGAAAAGATGGTTTATGCCTATTTATTTAAAGATTGTAGAATTAAGATGTGAATAGCTACAGTGAATGCAGTAGACTCAGGCAGAAGGGGCCCATGGCCAGGATCTCATACTTCAGAGGAGCCTGCGTGGGCCCTGCTCCAGCTGGGCCTCTTCATGGAGCTCAGAATCCAGGGTGCCACGGAGATGTTCCAGCTAGAGTCTGAGACCCCCCCTCTTCCTGCCATGCTCAGGGCACTGGAATTCCCTGACTGAATGGGCACTTCATGGGCTCTCCTTGTGTCCTACCTTCTGACAGCAGATTGTGGCACGTGTATGCACTCCCACATCTGAGGGCAACGGCTCACAGACAGCCGGTCAGAGTGTGCACGTGGGGATTGGAAGGTCCATGAATACGTGTATGAGACCTGGCACGGTACTGGAAGGGGCCAAGACTTGGGGGCGGATCCCCATTACACTTGGTTACCTGATGTGGATGATTTTTATCAGAAATTTCTTTGAAACCATGAAAATCAACTTCTACAACCTGTATTGAAATACTACTACATTTGTGGAAAAACAGAGTAGGTTACAGGGAGGTTCTTTCCATTGTACATATGTGATGCATGTAAGAATCATGACTCATGGGCTTATATAATCTCAGTGCCAAAAGTTTTTCAATAATGTATGCCTATTCAATAGAATGACTATAAGACTAGCTAGAATGATAGAGTCGTTCTAAAGCCAACATTTCTAAGTACCCCCCATGTCAAATGCAATGTATGGTGCAACTCACTTTTGTCTGTCAGAATAGAAGAGAAGTAGAGAGCAACCACTCATACTTGACCCGGAGGGTCTGAGAAGCAGAACCTGGGATGTCACCAGCAGTCTGATGATGACTCTGCTAACCATGAAGCACTGTGGATGGCATCTCAGGGAGGGAGCGGTCTTCACATGTCTATGATGCCAAGTATTTATTATTGTTTTTCTGAATTGGACCATATAGTACACAGGGTGATGCAATACTATTGTTATTAGATACGGTGTCGGGAGAACTCCTTACCAAACATCTCATTTTGAAAGTGGGGAAACTGAGACTCAGACAAGCAGTCTTTGACCAGGTTAAGTCTGAATCCACCAAATAGATTGCAAATGGCTTGGAGAAATCTAATGCCTGTATTCTGGCTCTCACCCACCATCCCTTCTCCCCTCCTCCTCTCCCCACCATAGGCTCCAGTACTGCAGAGGCATGAGACTATATATTCTGTAGGATTATTGGGTCCTGCAAAGGGCATCCAGAGATTCCACAGGTGTTCCAACACTTGAGGACTTTCTAAAATTTAAGTCTTGTTAAAATTATAATTAAAAAACAACTAGCTCATGCCACATTTTGACACAGTAGAGAACACTGAGGCATGAACTTGTACCTTCTGGCTAACTTACTTTTGTTGTTGTTGTTTAAGAGAGACAGAGCAGGAGGAGGGGCAGAAGGAGAGAGAGCGAGAGAACCTTAAGCAGGCTCCATGCCTAGTGCGGATCCCAGTGTGGGACTCGATTTCATGACTCCAAGATTATGACCTGAGCTGAAATCAGGAGTTGGACACTCAACCGACTGAGCCATCTAGGCACCCCCTGGCTAATTTATTTTTTACATAGACCTCAGAATAAAACTTCTGCCACACTCCTGCAGACTCAAACATCTTGTTTTTTGTTTTTTTAAGAGTTTATTTATTTACTCATGAGAAACACACAGAGAGAGGCAGAGACATAGGCAGAGGGAGAAGCAGGCTCCATGCAAGGAGCCCGATGTGGGACTCGATCCTGGGACTCCAGGATCAGGCCCTGAGCCAAAGGCAGAAGCTCAACTGCTGAGCCACCCAGGCATCCCCAGACTTGAACGTCTTGTAAATGGATTGTTACTTAGGAAAAAGTATTCTCTTGGTTCACTCCTGTGTGTGTCCGTCGCCTTAAAATCACTCAGATGCATAAATGTAGCAGCACCCAATACCATGTTATACTCCCCATACAGGAGACTTTTTCAAGGGCTGTCCAGAGTAATGCCAGTGTTGATGTTTTTATATCCAGATGTATTTGCCAGACCACCCAGACACT